TTGGCTGAGGACCACTTCAAAAAATGTTGAAGTGGCTGTGGGCTGCCCCAGAAGGGGCGGGGCCAGAATGCTTCCGGGCTTCCCCACCCATAGACCACGACTGGTCTGGGGGCAAGGGAGCCCTTTGCCTCCTGTGACAGACCACAGCCTGCAAACTGCAAAACTCTTATAGAAAGCAGCCATAATGGAAGGTGAGTTAATGCTTTCTTGTTTCCAAATTAGCTTCACCTGAACACAGCCTAGCATCCAGGGTAGAAAATAGAGTCCTACTTAGGAGGCAGCTTGCAGTTGGGGTTAATTAAGCACCTGCTGCCAATTAAGGCCTCCAGGGTTCCTATAAAAGGATTCCTCCCAGGCAGCAGAGGGGAGTTTTTGGAAGGCACACAAAGGAGAGCTGGAGAGCAGAGTAAGGAAATGCTGAACCCCAAGGACTGGCCTGTGATGAGAATGACTTGGTAAGCAGGGACCTTTGTCTCTAGGAAAATCCCAGGGCAACAAAGGGGGCTCCATGAGTCTCTGAGGCACTCAAGTAACCGCCAAGAAGCGCAGAATCCCAGGGAGCTACCAAGGGAATTTGTCACACCCCCATTCCCACTAAGCACCCGTGCCCCTGGTTTGGGGGCAGGGGAGCATGTGAAGTCTCCTCCTGCCCTGCCAGGAGCACACAGCACTTCAAAGTGGCCCTTTTGTTCACCCCGATTTATATGATGGCATAGAGAATATTCTGTTTGCAGATTATACTAAATGCACAGTACAATTAGGGCCTGGAGGTGGGGGAAGGACACACAGTTTTCTCCACCCTGCCAGAAGCACATGGCACTTTGAAGTGCCCTGCACTTCTGGCAGGGTGGGAGGAGACTTCACACGCTCCCCCGCCCCAAAGCCCTGATTGGCTTGGTGGTGGGAGGAGCACGCAAAGTTTTCCTCCACCATACCCTCACCCTGCAAGGAGCGTGCAACACTTTGAAGTGCTACATGCTCCTGGCAGGGTGGGGTAGGGCAGAGCAAACTTAATGTGCTCCTCCCGTCTCCAGGCCAGTCAGGGTTTGGGGATGAGGGAGCACATAAAGTCTCCTCCTGCTCTGCCAGGAGTACATGGCACTCAAAGTGGTCCTTTTGTCCATCCCTGATTTATATGATGGCAGAGAGAATATTCTGTTTGCAGATGTTACCAAGCTGGGAGAGGTTGCAAGTGCTTTGGAGGATAGGGTCATAATTCAAAATGATCTGGACAAACTGGAGAAATGGTCTGAGATAAACAGGATGAAGTTCAATAAGGACAAATGCAAAGTACTCCTTTTAGGGAGGAACAGTTTCACACATACAGAATGAGAAGTGACTGTCTAGGAAGGGATCTAGGGGTAATAGTGGACCACAAGCTAAATATGAGCCAACAGTGTGATGATGTTGCAAAAAAAGCAAACATCATTCTGGGATGCATTAACAGTAGTTTTGTGAGCAAGACACAAGAAGTCATTCTTCCCCTCTACACTGAGCTGATTAGGCCTCAACTGGAGAATTGTGACCAGTTCTGGGCACCACATTTCAAGAAAAATGTGGAGAAACTGGCAAAGTGCAAAGAGCAACTAGAATATTAAAGATATAGAAAATATGACTTGTGGGGGGAGACTGAAAGAACTGGACTTGTTTAATTTGGAAGAGAGAAGACTGAGATGGGATATGAAGGGTATTACAAGGAGAAGGGAGAAAAAAATATTCTCCTTATCACCTGATGATAGGACAAGAAACAATGGGCTTAAATTTCATCAAGGAAGATTTAGATTTGACATTAGGAAAAAATTCCTAACTGTCAGGAGGATTAAGCTCTAGAATAAATTGCCTAGAGAGGTTGTAGAATCTCTGTCACTGGAGATATTTAAGAGCAGGTTAGATAGACATCTGTCGGGGATGATATAGATAATGCATGCTCCTTCTGCAAGGACAGGAGACTGGACTTAATGATCTCTCAAGGTCCCTTCCAGTTCTAGTATTCTATGATTCTATGCACATGGAAAGGGAGACCCTGATCAGAGGGATGCTATACTGCAGACTGACCACTGGGGGCAGCTGCCCCAGCAAAAGTGGCCAGCTGAGGGTGGGGCTTGCCATCTTGGTGGCCACTGGACAGGGTAAGTGGACCCCAGTCCCAAAACCCTCCCCCCTGGTTCTTGGCCACAGCACTGGAGAAAGAAGGGAGGAGACCCACAAAACTGGGGGGGAAATCCATAGTAGCCAACAACTCTCCCACCCCCAGCGGAGCCACAGCCTGTCCCTTCCCAGCACTGCCGGCCCAGCCAGCACACCCCCTCCCCTTTTCCCCCTAGCCAGCCTGCATGGCCCCCTTCTCTACTGGCAAGGACAGCTGTGCAGTCCGGAGAACGTTGTTAGGGACAACCTTTCTGGGCCTCCTCCTGCCCTTGGACTGGGCTCCGGGAGAGCCAGCCTGTATGGCCTCCCACCTTCTGGACCAGGACTGGGAATGCTGGCGAGGACAGCTTGTGTGGCCCCTCCCACCCTGGCTCCCCCACACGCACACCTCCCCTGTCCTAGGTCCTCCTTCAACCTCCCATCTTAACTCCTGACCCCCCCCCCCCTCCCTTGCCCTGAGCTCCCCAGATTCCTTGGCCCTGCCATGACTCCTGCACCCTCACACTACCAGTCCCATCTACTAAAGAACCCAGGGAACCCTGGGTAAGTCTTCTATTAGTAGTTAAGATAATTTTTACACTCCACAAATTGCACACTTAACCCAGGTAAGTGTGAAATGATAGCTGGGAGCTCACAGCTGTCTAAGAAAAGGTCATAGCACCTTAGCATCTTAAATATGAGGTTATCACTTGAGTTCAATCAGTTCTATGCCCTTGTGCAATGTAATGCAAACTAAGGATGTAAAATCCCATTTAATCAGTTAACATGTTAAATGTTACATTTAACTAGGGATGTGAACGTTTAACTGATTAACCAATAAGCTGATACTTATCAGTTAATGCTATCGGTTAAACTCTGCCCCACCTCTGGGGAGATGGCTTTGTTGTGGGCTCTGCAGCGTGAAGCTTATTTAAGCTTTATACTGCAGAGCCCACAGTATGTGGAACCATGTAACTGCTGTTTCTTAGCAGTTACATGATTGCCTTATTGAATGTCTTTTAATGCCCCGTTAAACCCATTAACTAATTAGCTGGGATCCCTTGGGCAGGGGGCCAAGCCGGGCTGGTGCAGGTGGGAGACTGCTCCAGCCCAGCTGACTCCACTGTACTGCAGGCAGCTCGAGCTGGGCCATACAGCAGGTAGAAGGCTGCTCCTGCCAGGCTGGAGTGTTCCCCACCCCTGGAGCAGCACATCCAGCTGAGCTGGAGCACTCTCAGCACATAGTGTAGTGGGCTCGGCCGAGCTGGAGCAGCCCTCCAGTCCTCATCGATTAGGGGGCTGCCACAGCCTGGTCGTGCTGCTGGTTAACTGGTTACCAGTAAGCTTGCTGGTTAACCAGTAACATCCCTAATCCAAACCTTACACGCAAATAAGCTGTAAGACAACAGAACAGAAGTTAAAGATAAAGTATTAATGGTAACAAGACCCTGGATATTTGGAGGTTTTTGTTTTTCAGCCTTGCAAACAGAACCAGTGATGCCCTGCCCAAACTGCAGGATCTGCAGGGAAATTGCGAGTCTGTCCTCCTCTCTCCATCATGTAGCAGAGGTCCCTTAGGCTACATCTACACAGCAGCATTATTTCAAAATAACTGATGTTTATTCCAAAATAACATAGTCCATATCTACACACAAGCAATTATTTTGAAATAATGTCGAGCTGCCAGACTGCTTATACCGACTCTTGTAATCCTCCTACAAGGAGTAAGAGAAGTCCGGGGAAAAGTGCTCTGTCTCAAAATAACTGATATGTAGACTGTGCCAAAAGTTGAAATAAGCTATTTTGACTTAAGCTACTCAATTAGTGTGGCTCAAGTTGCGTAGCTTATTTTGAGTTTAGCCATGCTGTATAGATGTGCCCTTAGGCACCATGCTGTTGTTGGATTCTACCTTTCATACATATTTAGTTGCAAAATAGAAGCTCAGAATTGACTGTCAAAGTCGTTGCTGCTTAAGCAGCAGTAAAACTAGCAGATATATCATCTTGGTGCTACATGGAGCAAACTGCAAAGACTGGCTGCTCTTCAGCTGAGCCCCCAAAAATTTGGTTTCCCCAAGTGGAGAAAGTGTCTCACTTTTCTGTGCTTGTATGCAAATTATGTTGTGTTTCAGCATCTTGACTTGGGCTGTGCTTACCATCTGCCTTTAACTGGAGAAGTTCTGATGCTGCTGACAGCTCCTGTGAAATTTCCACACCTTGGATTCAAAACCAAGGTCATTTAAATCAAACAGATTCTCATCCAGTCTTTTTCCACCCCACACCCCCGAACATAGCTATATTTTGCACTAAAATCAGAAACAAAAGTAGTTGTTTATTTGAAAACATGTTTTTCAGAGATAGGCTGGTTCCTTTCTAGTCCTTCACGTCCACACAAAATGTATCCGTGTGTTTAGCTTTAAGCATGTAAGTAATTGAGTTGAGAATGTAATAAAGTTGAGTTCATCAGTACCACTCACATGCAAGGTCAGAGCCCAAGGCATTGCCCCATCATAGTATAAGCAAGGGAAGTCTTGTCCATTCTAGTAAAATTACATACTGCTGACAACTCATGTCAACAGGGGATGCAGCTAAACCATTGCTAAACAGGGAGTAATTCTTCTATTACAGACCAAGTTAGAGTGATAGACCAATACAAACTGAAAATAAAATGAAAGTGCTCAATGGCTTTGTACATTGTGGGGTCATAAAGTCAATAGTATTTCAGAATTCATAAAGTGAAAATAGAAAACATGTCAGTGTATCTTGATATCTTTGCTCTTGAGTCTTACCCTCCTGCCAATACAGCCAGTCTCCGACTCACGACCACCTCCACTTACGACCAAAGCGGTCGTAAATGCAGTCCCCGAGTTACGAACGCAGTCCGTGCTTACGAACAGCGCAGTCGCCATGTAACTCAATGGGATCTGAGTTATGAATACTTCGAGTTACGGCCAAGTGTTTGGTCCATAACTCGTTTGTAACTCGGGGACCGGCTGTAATTACTTCTTTTGATGGTGGAGTATGTTTATTTTACCTAAGGAGGGACTGTAGGGATTGAAGTATGTTATAATAATTCATGCCGAGTTGCACAGACAGAAGTCAGCCTGTGGCCTCCTACTCTAATGTACAAACTGTGAATTATTCCACCCACAGTTAACATCCTGTCAGGTCTTGTTGCCTAATATGAGACATTATATTTTAAATGAAGATATCAGAGCACGTCAAAGCAGTGCAAAAATTTGACACTCAAAGTCCTGTTTTGAAAAAAAAATATTGTGAAAATAACTATTTCTTACTGCTTTGAAAATTTACCTCATATTGTCACTAGCAAGTCCCAGCTTCTAGGCTGAAATTATTTCTGTTATCCAGGACTGAAGTGCTTTTATTGTTTATCTTGTTCCTGCAACAATAAGCAAATCCTTTAATAAGAAGCGTTTTAGAAAACAAAGAATCCACACACTTGATCCAATTTAGTATATACTGCAGAAGATGAAAAGATTGTAAGAAACTGTATTAAAATGCAGTAAGTTATGTATGTGGAGATCATGTGATGTTAAGGAATCTAAAACTAGCTAATATAAATATGTATCCTTTTCCTGGTTTTAATTAACAGACAACAGTTCTTTGTTTTCAGTTGTTTATAATTATCTGTTATCAGTGAAGTCAGTTTCTTTCCTGACTGAAATTAATGTAACTCAGAATTAAATCAGGGAAAAATTAGTCCATAGTATGCATTTGATAGCTAATTTTGAAACTGTTAGTGGAATCATTTTTTATTACAGCTAATGATGTAGTACACTAAGGACGTGGCCTGTGAGGTGCACATGTTGCAGTCACTGGGAATGAAAAAGTACTCTAGCATATAGCAAGACTACACTCATTTATACATAGCTAATCAGTTCTAAATTTGCTCAAAAAATTCTAGAAGTTCCAATTCCACAAAGGGGAGATATCTCCAGAAATACAGATCATTTTAGTTTATTCTCAATGTTGAATTATTTGGAATTTCAGAATCTCTCACTTATAATTTTTAAAAGATGCTAGTTCAATGAATATCTTAACTTGTACATTCACTACAGCTTCTTTTTCAAATTAAATTCCAGCTGGACAACTTAGCCAGTCAGCTCATTTCTCTCTCCAGCTGCCGTACAATGTGCTTGGTTTGGGACGCAGTGCTAATTTCCTCGATCACTTGTATGTTGGCATTCCTCGTCCTTTAGGAGAAAAGGTAAGTTGAGATTTACTGTGGGTAAACTATTTTTTTTTCTAGCATTTCCTTTTCCTGCTAAGCTTTGGGTACTGTTCTTAGCACTGCTGTCTTTCAGAGTCAAAATTATAAAGAAACATTTTTCATTGATATTGAAAATGGCTTGCTGAAAACTACGTGTTCATGTTCTTCAGCATGTTGTATCCATCATTAGTCTCTAAAATAAACAGTAAAACAAAAATACCACTCAATAGAAAAACACAGAAGTGTTCTTTACATAAGAAAATAGTTGGTTTATATTAAATATAAACATTTCAATTTGCTTTGAGATTCCAGATATGCCAGCATTCACACTATTTTATACTATAATGCCATCAGATCTCCCAAAGTAGATGAGGCTCACATGGCTCAGTACTTGGTTGGGCAACACTAAGAATTCCAGGGTGGGCAGGAAAATTATATATGTCTCCTGTTCAGTCACCTTTTTCCCTCTGAGTTGATATTGAGCTCTTTACCAGCATGGTGCAAACGGAACAGTTCTGCTGGGGAAGATTTTTAACTCCAATGTCCTGACTTCATTTGGAATATTAAATTCTGCCTATATAACATTTCCCTACCAAATTACTTAAATATAGTATTCTTCTGTTACTGCAGTACTAGTGTGTGCTTTTAAACATAGCCATGTTTCTCCTGAGAGATGGCAGTATTTCAGTGGTGGAGGAAATTTATCTTTGTCTATAGTTTTTATTCGATTTGTAAATTGCTTTGGGATCTCTCAGTATAAAAATCTTTATATTAGTATTAGAGAATTATCACTATTCTTTCATGTCTCCTGGAAAATTAATACTTTGAGGGGTTTTGTTTGGTTTTGCTATCTAACATTACTCAGAAAAGTTCAGAATATTTACATTTTTTATTAATTTGTAAGAAGTGGATAAAAATTCATTTCTTCTTTCAGTCTGTAAGAAAACAGGAATGGACAGCTATCATCCCGAACTCCCAACTTATTGTCATTCCATATCCACACAACGTTCCTCGAAGGTAATATCATAGTTGCAGGTAGATTTTTGCAAATGATACTGTGGATGCAGAACTGTAATTATTTATCATGAGATATTAATGAATGATGGTGGAATGACTATAGTCAAACTTTAAGAATAAGAATGCTAACAGAAAAAGTCTTTGTTTTTTATGTGCAGCCTAGTTATATTTGCGTATCTGAAGACTAGATTAGCATATTCAGCAAGTGGTGTGTCCGTTCAAGACAACTACATTTCTATTATCCTCTGTTGTCTATCAAGGACAGCTACAGTAGGTTTCCGGCTGTCACCTCTCTTAGTGCAGACATGTTTCTCTGTCCCTTTTGCCTGTGTTATTTCCAGGCTGCACCATTCCCTGCCTTGACTGTGTTATTCCCAGGAGAGTGAGGCTGCCCAGGCACACCTGCTTGCTTTCTCCTCAGAGACTGATAGATGTAATTGTTAGAGCACTTCCTAGGCAAGCCTACTTTATTCTTGAGGTAAAAAGCATTCCAGAGAAAACATATTAAAAACAAGAAAAGAGCCTACACACATGCTCGTAAGCTTACCAGAGTTAGCTCCAATCCTAAAATGTATTCTGTGGCAGGAGCAGTCCTTCAGACCTCCATCTAAGGGGATTATGTGTGGGTACAAGTCAGCACAGCTTCAACTCAGAACAATTATGTAGTCTTATGAGGCTTCATAAGATGCATCTACACAGCACCCTTATCTCGAAATTTGGCGCTGTCTACACAGCACCAAATTTTTAAATAAAGTACTATTCCTGACATGTCCCTTAACAGAGGTTACAGGGACACCAGAATAGCATGCCCATTATTTCGAAATATATTTCAAATTAATGGGTGCATTTAAAGATGCGGAATTGCTATTTCAGCTTACTTCCAGTATCCTCCTGTCTAAACGTAGCCATAGAGTCCTGTCCTACAAACCCTTCAAAAAGGATTGTGGCCCTCCTTGAACCAGAGATCCTGGAACCCTGTCCATTTGCAGTATTAGGTAGAAGACCCTGAGCCAGTTTAAAACCAGGTGTTTGTCCAAAAACTCTTTATCTGGTTCCAGGAAAAGAAGTATATTAGCATCCACTCTTCCCCTACTAGAGGACATACAGTGCAAAAGTAATATACAATTGCATATTTTACACAATGTATGTACTCTAATTCAGACAGTTTTAACTTAATAAAGTTTATCTTAATTCTATATTGTAAGTCTTATTTGATATATTATCAGTATGTTACTCTTGATATATTATAGATGTGTTCTTTTGTGACCATTGCTAAATTGTAAGGGAGGAGCCGGGTGGAGAGAGAATATGTATATGTACAAAATAAAGTTAAATGTGTTTACATATGCACTCATCTATATGACAGATTATTTTAAATAAGCATACAGCTTTATTTGCTTCTGTGGATCAGGCCAGTCAAATATAAAATATATTGTGCACTTCATGCTATGGTAATATTGGTATTTTTCTTTAAATTATTGACTATACAGATATTAGCATAAACATTTTATACATTTCCAGTGTATCACAATTTCAGCATTATAACTTTACTGTAGAGTCAAATATACAAAGAGATGAAAAATTAAGCACAAAAATCACATGAGCCAGGTGAATAAGATTTAATATTCTAGCCTATATATTGTAAAGGTTCCCCCTATACGATCACTTTCTTAATCAGGAGTGGGCAATAAAATGGCAGGCCAGCGCAGCAATATTTACCTGTGCTTATGCAGGTATGAGACACCGCTTCCCACAGCTCTGCTTGGCCAGGAATGGTGATCTGTGGTAAATGAGAGCCGCAAGCACCCATACCTGTAGAGGTCCAAGTAATATAGCGGCACTGGTCCACCAGAAGGTAACCCTGGCAAATCGGATTTGGCCTGCAGGCTGGTATTTGCCTACCCCTCTTACTTTCAAAGTATTGAGTTTAGTTTTCTCATAGGGAAAACACATGGAGATATAGACACTGTAGAATGACAACAGGTGGAACACAAAATTGGAGATTACATGAAAACAGGAGAAATATGCATACTGAAAACTTTCAATCCATAGAGACACTTCCTAAAGTTATCTCTGTATTGCACTTTCAGGGTATGATTGCAGTTCAAGTTGACATACGTGAGCTAGCTTTAATCAAGCTACTTTAGGTCCCAAAAGAATTGAAGCTGCACCAGCATGTGCTTTAGTTCAAACTGGCCCTACAAGTAATTACTCAGGATTCTGTGAGAGCTTAATTTCTCTGCGATCTAAGATAGCTAGATTAAAGACAGCTTCGGAATGCCCACTCAAGATCAAGTCATGCCCAATGACTTCAGTCTAGACATACCCTAAGAAAATTACCTTTAAAAATATGTTGTTCCTTTTTCATGCTATATTCTGGTACACCTCCATAATCAATCCAAGGGTTGAACCAATCTAATAACATGCCAGCTACCCCAAATTTCACTGCCTTCATTGGAAGCCAAGAGCATCCAGCCTAAACATGTTAAATTGTGCTTATCTGGCTAATCGTGTAGTGGATACGATTTGTATCCACTACACAATTAGTCAATAGGACCACTCTGCAGAGCTGCAGCGGGGGTAGCTCCCTAAGCTGGCTCGAGCCAGGACTGAGCAGTCCCAGTTTGTGCCAGTTTTGGGAGCCACCTGCGCTGCGTCTCTGCATTTTAAATGAAGACGCACAGCATCCCGGACCAGTATAAGCTGAGACTGTTCGGTCCTGGCTTGCGCCGAGTCCAGAAGCCCCTGTGCATGGTCAGCCTGGGCCACCGCGAACAGGGGCTTCTTGGCAACAGTAGCCCCTGTCCATGGGGGGAAACCAGCTCCCCGCTGGGATCCCAGGGGCTGTTGCAAAAGCAACCTTGGTCCACTGCGGGCAGAGGCTGTTTTGCAGCAGCCTCCCGTTTCCCCACCTCTGCTCCCTCTGATAGAGGCAGTGAGGCAGGGAAGCGGCACCACAGAGACAGTGCTGGGGGGAACCGGCTTTTATGCCTATCCCCCTCCCCCTTTGATGCTTCTGATACGGAGGCGGCAAGGGGGTCAGGGGAGCAAGTAGTTGAGTAGTCAGCTACTCGCTAACATCCCTAATCCAGCCTGTCATAAGGCCAGGCTTTCTGACCTGCAAAAAGAAAAAAGGGGGGGAAGGAGAGCTTTTGTGTATGTGGTAAATAAAGAAGGCCGGAACGTTTTTTATTTATTTTATGTCAGCAATGTAGCTGGAGTACTCTGGGTAGTGAGTAAGGAGTATCTATTAGACTTAGGGATTCATTAGAAATGTGGGTCCACTGTGTTCTAAAGGTATTTCCAATGTTTAATATATGCCAAGGCTGAGCTCCACGGACACCTCTGGACTTTGTAAATCATAGCCTCGACACCTCTGGGCTTCTTGTCAGTTATAAAAGTTAAAAAAAGTGCTTGCTTGAGCCCTGGCACTTAAGCGTTCGCTCTTGACAAAGTTGTATCCAGCATGTGATATTGATGCTTATTTTACTAACATGGAATTCTTAGTGTAGACAAGGTTTTGATGGGGAGAACAAATGAAATGATATCATGAGTCAGGAAAGGAGAAGATGAACAGCTGAGAAAAAGAGGCTTTTAGTGAGGCTGTTTAAAACTTTCTTATAGAACTTCAGTGACTGACGTTTTGGAGAAAGGAAGAATCAAACAGATTCAAGCATACAGATTAAAGTGCATTCCTCTGTACTTTTGCCTTCAGTTAAGTGGGTGGGGCACAATGCACTTGTTCTGACATATGAAGGTTATTCTCCACAAAAATAAGGGAAGACCGGACTTGACATACTTGATATTCCTAAACTAAAAATAAACCACTTTTAAAAAATCATCTCTTCTTTTCTATATATATCTTTTTATATCCTTGGGAAATATATGGAGTATAATTCCAATTTGTATTTAAGTCCTTTGCAGATTTCTTAAATCCTCAAGTAGTATTTCCATATTTTCTCAAAAGTCCAAGCGAATCCTCGTTCTGTGACTAGAGAACTGCTTAATTCATCTCAGTGGGGTTTTTAACTTTGACTCCTAATGAAAATGTATAGGTTTACACTTTACTATTGCACTGATAATCATTTTAGCTGAAATATACAGCTATTCTGCAATTGCGAGTGGAGGTTAACATCTCCCTTTTCTGCCAAATTTGACCCGTCTCTTCAGATTCTTCTCCCTAGCGCTTCTACATAATAAAATCTCCTTTCCCTTACTCTTAAAGCCAAAACATTTTTTAATATTGGAAAAAAGCCCAGACTCTAAGGACCAAAATTTCAGAGTGAAGCACAATGAGTCGAGAACAGACAAAGGTTAATCTAGGGGGGAAAGGCTGTTACTCAGGAGTTACCCCCATTTCCAGAGTAGCTGCATGCATCAACAGAGAAATATTTTAAAATGCTGTTTGATATGTAATCATCCTCATAAGGTTCCAAAGATAAATCTGTGCATTTGAAAAGCACATGTGCACCAATAATAGCCCCACTTCAGGTGCAGGACTTGTGTCTAGCTAAAGTCCCCTCAACCCAAGAATTAAAATCTGAGACAAGCCTGAGACATATTGGGTCTGAACATCCTCTTAGTGCTGGGTACTTTGGATGATGAGCGTGGGATTAGGCCTATGTGTACTTCACGTATTAAAAGGATCCATTTTTCTTTCTATCTATGCTTTCTATAATATATTATTATGGTTAAGATACTAAATATTCATTATATATTAGCAGTTTTGTCTGACTTAAATTTTAATGGACTGATCAGGGAACACAATCTATTATATGAAAGGCACTTTGCCCTTTTTATTTAAAAAAAATGTATAATTGTGCCATGGAATCTTCTCAAGGAAACCTCTATGATCTATTTGGCCTGCTCTTTAATTTTATAACCTGCTCTAGGAACTATTTTAAAATTGGTTCATGCTTACTGACTAGCCTATAGATGGTGCCAGAATAAGAAGTCAGGTAAATTACCTGCTTCTTGAGTCAATGCAGTGTGTCCTAATATAGCACTAGACTGGAACTCGGAAGGGCTGAATTTCATTTCCAGCTCTGACACTAGCCTGCTGGTGATTCTGGGCAACCCAATTCACAAGTGCTTTTTTTAATACTCCAGTGGGAGAATATTGAGCAGTTGATGCAAATGGTCCTTAGTTCAGCAAGATACTAAGATAATTAAGCACTTGTCTAAGTTTAAGCATGTGAGTATTCCTGTAGTAGGAGGTCTGGAAAGAGTCATAGATTTTTAAAGACAGAAGGGGCCATTACAGCTTGTATAATACAAGTGATAGAACTTCTCCAGTGATTTCTGCATAAAGCCTTCTAACTTGTAAGTAAAACTGATCGTCTCTCTTTTGAAAGATAGCCTGTCTTACAGAACACTAAGGGCATGTCTACACTACAGAATTATTTCAAAATAACTACCATTATTTCAAAATAACAAGGTGAGCATCCACACAGAAAGCATGTTATTTCAAAATAACAGGCTTGTTATTTTGAAATAATAATCCTTGAATTTACGAGGAATAACACCTATTTTGAAATAGCATTAGTGTGGATGCTCAGCCGCTGTTATTTCAAAATAACTACTCCACAGAGTCATTCAAAGTAATCAATCCCCAGTGCTTCCTGGGGCTGTATGTCAGGGTTACATTCCTGAGGCTTCCCTGTAGCATGGACAGGCTATTTTGAAATTGTTATTTCAGGAGTTCTTTTGAAATAACCTTGTAGTGTAGACGTAGCCTAAGATATTTTTCTAAAAGATCATCTTCTGGTGCAAACAATTGAAATTGATTTGGGAATTATTGGGTGAAATGCTATGGACTGTTCATGTTATGCATGAAGTCAGACTAGATTAATCCATTTAAATCAGTGGGGGTATGTCTACACTACCACCCTAGTTCGAACTAGTGTGGTTAATGTAGGCAACCGAAGTTGCAAATGAAGCCCGGGATTTAAATATCCCGGGCTTCATTTGCATCTTGCCGGGCGCCACCATTTTTAAAGCCCCAGTAGTTCGGACTCCATGCCCGCGGCTGCACGTGGCACGGAGTAGGTAGAGAGCCTAATCCAAACTACTGTCACTCCTCGTGGAACGAGGTGTACCCGTAGTTCGGATTAGAGAGCCTAATCCGAACTACCTACTCCGTGCCGCGTGTAGCCGCGGGCACGGAGTCCGAACTACCGGGGCTTTAAAAATGGCGGCGCCCGGCAAGATGCAAATGAAGCCCAGGATATTTAAATCCCGGGCTTCGTTTGCAACTTCGGTTGCCTACATTAACCACCCTAGTTCGAACTAGGGTGGTAGTGTAGACATACCCTGGGATACTACTTAATATTTGTCACATTTTTAAGTATATTGCTGAATGGCCAGCCAGAATGTACCTGCATGCAACTCCAAAAATAGTGATTCAAATACCAAAAAAAACCCCAAAAAATAAATAAAAAGCTTGTTTAAAAATAAAAACTTACTGACAAAGTGTACTTTGAAAGTAATGCCAGGGTACAGTTTTCCAAATAAGCAATAAGTAATTTGGATGCACTCTCATGGCCTTTGATATTTTTTATGGATTCTATTGTACCATTTTCAGCTACAACCAACCTATTAATCACTTTTATTTGCCTCTTTATGTTTCCAAGTATTTTTTTCTCCAAATTCATTTATAAATAAAATACATATTGAATTCATTTTTCAGTCTGTTTCAAGATTTATTGACTACAGAAACTGAACTCATTGGTCAGTAGATTTGATTTAATCCATAAAATCTAACTAACAAACAGCAATTAACTATACACCCAATTTATGGATTAAACTAAGTGTACTGCAAATCTGGACTTCTCCCTCCCATAGACAAAGTCAGAAAAGGGCATCAGGGAGGCAGGTAAATTGTCCCTTAATGGAAAGGTGCTGGAGAGCTGTAGGATAGGGAGAGACGCAGTTCCTTGTGGATTCATCTGTTTTTACAGAAATTCTGTAGATGGTACCTAATGTGTCAGTAATCGAAAATGCTAACATTTTATATTTGCAGTTTGAAAGCATTATATCCCAACTCCACAAATAAGACACTTGCAGCTAATTTTGCTGAAATACTTAAGTAAAATCAATATCAAACCATTTGTATTTCAAGCAAAGAATGAGATGACATTTGATTGGCTATAGTTGTTTTTCAGCCTTTTCCAAGAGTGTTGGCATCTTACTTATTAACTTCCTATTATCAATAGGGTTGGTTTTCATAAAACACCATGCTACACTGGCACATCTGATTATCTGAAACAAGTAAAGCTATATTTTTTAACTTAGTTTTTAATGCCTCAGAACTATGCCACAGCTCAAAAGTAAACATTCTGGATCCTAAACTTCTTTTTTATAAATCATAAAAATTATTTTGATGTGAAGACTTCCCAGTTTCATGGTCTGTAGCATACTGTGTATAAGGTACCTACTACAGTTTTTAAATTGTTATGAATTCCCAATGACAAAAAGTGGAATATAACCGATTCAAGAGGCTAAATCACTTTCTCTTCATACACCCTCATAGTGTGGAGAAGGTAAAGATGTTTGTCACAGAAACTGAATTTGTTACTATTTTTGTATTTGCTGTTAATAAGGCCACATCATTCCTTGATAGAGGAAAACGAAGAGCACTCAGGAAACTCCACAAAGTTTATAGGCAGATTTCTTTCTACATTTCCCCTCCAAATACAGGGGTTTTGCGGAGGAGACAGGAAGCAAGGCTTGCATTCCTTACTGAACCCCCATTTCTCTATCTGCAAGGAAATAAAGCACTACTCTACAGTGTGTTGACTCTCCACGATACTGCCTGGCTCCCTTTTTTTCCCCCCGCAGAAGCACAGCTGTTATTGGCTGCCCTTGCCGTGCCTGTGCAGTGGGTTCTTCTCTGAGGCTTATGCAGGCATTGAGAAAAACTTAATGCAGCATTAATTTGTGAACAGCGAAAATATGCAGATGACTGATGGAAATGCACAATGACTGCTGCCTATGTCACCTGCAGTGCTGTAATGCAACTAATGGGCTTTCTTGATGGAAGAGGCAGTATGCCAGGTGGACTGTTTCCCTGTTCTTTTCCTTCCACCTAAGTCTCAGGCATGGTTGAGTGGAGACATATCCGTACATTTTATTTTGCTCCCTTCCTTGTCCACTGCAAAAGAAGTGCCACATTAAGGAGTGCTTCAATGAAATAGTGAGTCCCTGAAGCTAACCATAGCACTTTTGTAAGTAGTTCAATAGACACTGAATTTAGAAATGGCATTACTTGAAAATAGTAATGATATTAAATCCTATATTTGTAAGTAAACATTAGGAGAGATATTTCCGTAAAGCCCTGGCTTTTGTAGACCAAGTCATGGGTTGTCTTGCTTCATTTATATTTTTTTAAACATGCTCTCTGTTGAATCTCCTCTCTCTGCTAATGAAGAGTTACTGTTGTTTCTTTTGCTTCTCCTATGTAGCTGGAGTGCCAAGCTGTACCTGACCCCAAGTAACATCGTGCTACTCACAGCAATTGCCCTAATTGGTGTCTGCGTTTTTATCTTGGCCATAATTGGCATATTGCACTGGCAAGAAAAGGTAAGCTTAATTACATGGAAATTTTCTAGCTGTGTCTTTACAATACTTTAAACTTCCTAATATTTCAAACTTCAGGTTGAACTTCCATGGTCCAGGCCTCTCTTGTTTGGCAACAGCAGGAGAGGAGCCAGGAGTCCAGTGCTGGGACTGGCAGTGGAGTCAGCCTGGGGGCAAGGAGCCAGCAGCGCAGAGCCCAGAGGATGGGTCCGACAATGGACCCCAGATGGGAGTGTGGAGCCCGGGCAGCAGTGGGACTAGCAGCGCAGCCTGTCTGGGGGCGTGGAGCCCGCCCGGTGGCCAAGGCCAGGATCAAACCTGGCAGCGCAGCCTAGCCTGGGCACAGAGCCTACTTGGCTGCCAGGGCCAACGGCCCGGAGCCAGGGAGCCCAGCAGCCAGGATGGGAGCCAGAACAGCTAATAGAGGAGCCAGGTGGGGGAATTGAGCCTCGATGGGTTTGCTGCTGGACCCTGGGAGAGCCTGGAGTATATTAGCAGATGGGCCGGAATTGACCTCCCCTGGTCTGGCAAAATCTGTAGTTTGGGACTGGTTAGTTCCCGAGGGTGCCAGACTAGGGAGGTCCAATCTGTAGATTTACCTGGCGGTGATTGGTCCTTAATTCAATTAATTGTTGTTTTTTCTTCATTTAAATCATTGCTCTGGGGTGGGTCTGGAGATGAGGGTTTCAGTAGTTCTGGAGGGGGTGCCGCCAGCCAGTCTCTTTCACTTGCCTGGTGATTGTCTTTTTTGTTGTTGTTTTTGTTTGATTTTATGCATCCCCTTATGCATGGGGCAGGAGGGCTTCAAACACCCACCCCTGCTCAAGAACACCTTACCTTGTTTTAAGTTATCCTAAGAAGAAGCTGCATAGCAAATTTTGTGGTCCTAGCCCTTACAGTTTAGGAGGAGTTCTTGAATAAACAGACAGACTCACTCGCTTACAATCTCTTTCAAATACATAGTAGATATGCCCTGTGGCAGTGGTCCCCAACCTTTAGAGGCTCCCGGGCACCCGGGAGGTGGAGGCCACTCACGCGCCGGGTGCCCAGGGGCACACCAGGGGACTGGGATGCCCTTGCCCCTGGCGCCAGCGTGTGCCCTAGGGCCGGGGCTGGGGCCGCCCGAACGCTTTGTGCCGTGGGCCCAGGGCCGGCGCTGCCGCCCGAGCCTGGGGCCGGCACCGGCACCGCTCGAGCACCATGCGCCCGCATGTGTCCCAGGGCTGGGGCCACCCAAGCGCCGCGCACCCAGCGCCGGTGCATGTCGCACGCCTGGGGCCGACGCCTCCCGTGCGCGGGGCCGGCCCAGGTTGTCGGCGGGCGCCCACGAATGCCCCAGCAGGCGCCGTGGCGCCCGCGGGCACCGCGTTGGGGACCACTGCCCTATGGTATGTTGTTCTGAACAGTGATTTTCAGTTTAAAGAGTTTTGAGGAGTTTTAACTGCATTAATCCATCTATAATAATAACTCTCATGCCTGACTAATATCAGATTTTCTTTCTGTCCACAAAATTAGGACAATTTAGGATTCATTGAAACCTTAAAAACAAATATTTGGTATTTAGTTTTAATTCCAAGTTATAAATTAAAAGTTAGCAGTAACATAGACAAGTGCTGGTAGTTCAGGATAAACCATAATTCATAACTAAATGGAATTTTTTCATTTCATATCCAGGATGAATATCTTGAACATCTTGCACTCTCAGCCTTTGATCAGAGTTTAAAGGAATAATATGAGTCTGGAAATAAAATTAAATGTAAACCCCCAGCTTACCCTTCTTAAATTCTGCCGGTAGTTCATAGAGAAAGAAAACATAAAAAGGATATGTTTTTCTGTCCTCACTGACTGTATTGACGTGAGTACTTAAGACAGTACAGGATTTTGCCATGGACATATTGGCTGTTTTGTGATATATAGCTGCAATACACGACAGCATATAGAAATCCATTGATTTGAAGATGTATTTTGAGAGGATTCTTTCATGTCACAAAAGAAAAGTATGTTCCCGCTTTTCTTAGCTACTCTCAATTCACAATAATATTCAAGTGGCAGGATGGCCAGTAAATGCTGCTACCTAGCATACAATAATCACAGCTGTCAAATAAAATTACTGCATTTTTTACTTGACATTCAGATAGGTGTCAGATAACCATGAACCTTTGGAAATCCTGAGTTCTAACACTTCCTTTGCCCTGCAGTGTGACCATTTAGCAAGTCATTCAGACATGTTGCTTTGTTTTCCCCATCTTTATAAATGGACATGATGCCATATTGGAATTAATCAGTTTACATAGACAGTGCTTTGAAAGTTACCAATCAGTATTATTATTGTCAAGTCAGAGATAGTCTTTAACACTTTCAGAATTCATGAAAGAGAAAACATGGAATTTATGTTTAAAATGAGGGGGTTTTAACTACACTGAGAACTATAAACCTGTCACAGAAGACTAAAAAAGCAAAACCCAGTAGAACACAATACAAATAGCATGATTTCCACAAATTAGCTTTAATTATAAACATAAGGTAGATATAGCATAGCTATTTAGTACAGTAGTGAAAGGGTATCCACTCGGGCACGTACCTATGCCATGATGGTGACAAACAACAATATTTTCCTGGCTCTTAAAAAATATTGGCCTTGGCAAACAGGTAGAATTTTGCAAATCAGATAGTGATTCATTGTCTGCTTGTGCATATATTAGAAATGCTGTGAGGACTCTAACTTCAGAGAAACAAAAATTTATTTCTCACATTAGCATCATATCAGTTTCCAATAAAATTCATCCAAAATTAGTAAACTTTGGAAAGAAGTGCATAGCAAAATATTCTGAGCTGGAGAGAGGGAATAAACTACATGGAAGATTATTACATGTAATTAAAGGCCATAAAGATATAGGTCCAAGATGAATATTCTTGTTTTATCCAAATGCACTCATACCAGTCACACTGTTGTTTTGACAGCTCTGCATATATAGCGCCCAAATAAGGAAAGAAATGTATTTATGTTCCCAGTTATTCACTTTTTATACACATGTGTATGCCTACAAACAAAGTGGAACCCCCTATGATTATGGTTAAGAATCACTAGTTCTTAATATTGTTATTGGTTGAATTATTACACTTGGTTGACTTTTACTGTCTGTTTTGCCCAATTTGCCAATTTTGGTTTTGCTAACCGTAAGTTTAAGAGACTCTTAAATTACAACAGAGCTGGGACCACTTGTGGTTGTTTGAGCCAATTCACCATTCTTCATCATATTTATCTTCTTTCATAATGCAGATGACAAAAGTACACAAAGAAACATTTTTCATTTAACTAATTAAGCAATAATCCTTGGGAAAAAATACATTAGAATATAACCCAAAGCATTGGTCATTAATACTAAAAAAGCTTATCATTAACTGCAGCAGCCAATTTTGAGCCAATTATTGCCATTATAAACTGTCACCTATTAAGTATTAATTGTTGAGGCAGTTAGTTAGCTTTCTGTCTTCTGTTGAATGACAGAGTTGGAAAAACCAGCCATTCTGTGGCATTTGACAACTAATGTTTTATTAGAATGAAAGGTGTGTGATATGCTGTCACTTGTATTCTATAAAGTGATATGGTTTATTTTTTCAGAAAGCAGATGACAGAGAGAAACGACAAGAAGCCCATCGGTTCCATTTTGATGCTATGTGATATGCCTTAAGATCTGTGAAGGAGCTGCTACCCATTTGCTTAATCAAAATATGAAATTCCAAATTGTAAGAAGAAATCTGGGAAGTGGTGTTTTATTAGTGAGTTATTTGTAAATGTTGCATTCTTTGGTATTTATTTTAAAAGCATTAAATCAGACCTGAATGTCTTGTATGAGCTTTCAGTAAACAGTTTGTATATACTGGCAGTTATTGGCCTTTAATAACGCTGTCAATTTATTTTTCTTAGTAAGGGATCATATTGCATGTGTTCCAATGTTTACATGCTGCCGCTTCTTCCAGTACAATATTTGATGGATAAGAAGTCACGTGTAAATAAAGTTAGTATTTCAGTAAGCAGAATCCTTTAGTGCCAGCTGAATTAGTCTTGTCATTTACACATTTCTGCAATTTAAATTACATTTCAATAAATGAACCTCAAGCAGATTATCAGATGAGACATTCTACATTAATTACTATGGCTGAACTCGGGGGGTATTTGATCTAAAATGTCTAAATATTTTTTCCTTTGTTTTAGTCCTTACATGCGATAGTTAGATGAGCATTTACTTACTAAAGGACTAAAACAAATCTACAAAGCTAACACCAAATAACCAATAATTGTACATCTTTACTGTTGATGTATATACATTCCAATTTTTTAAAAAACAACTTAAGTTTATACAAAAATAATCATCATAATCCAAAATATGAGAACTATGCCATCCTAGAATGGATGCGATGAGAAGAATTTTCTTGAGTACTGATGCGTATCAATGTGACTATACTTAAATTGAATTATGAAAACAATTGGCCATTGAGATTATGAATTGAATTTGATTTTCTTGGGGAGAAACTTAAAGATAAACCTATCAGGGAAACTGGGGTTAAGTCCTATGTTTGATCTGCTTATTTCTACCCCGAAGCCATGATTAAGGGCTAAGATATTCTATGATGCACATTAAGGACTTAATGTAAACTTCTTACATGAGAGCATGTCATACTACTGTGCCCAAAGTCTATAGGAAGAGTGTGATGATTATGTCTGAAGAGAAGCTCAGCTCTGTATAGTCAAAATGTTGATAGCTTTCCATCATACAAATTAGATTGTAGCAATGGTAAAATGTGTTCCCTGAAAACAATCATGGTTTTATTTTATGTAATACAGGTTTTGTTTATTCTTAAAATCTGCATTTATATGATTCACTGTGTATTTATATCTGTTAATATGCATTCATAATAAATGTTTACTAAATCAAGCATGTTCGTTGCTTAAGTGAAAACTGTTAGAATATTGTTGGTGCTATCTTTACATTGTAGCCTCATTGGTCTATTTCATTGTGTGAGCAGTCACTGCCCCATAACCTGTTGTCACCTATTAATCTCTGACACTATATTCACCTGTCAACATTGAGCTGGTATTAGAGGACCAGTGAGGAAAACAGGCTAAACTAATTAAACATAAATCTTGTTGGAATAATTTAGTTGTCATGTCATGACACTTAAAAATAAGATATTCATACAAGAAGATATATAGTCTATGATATAGTTCTACCAATCCATGAAGCTTTCACTGGTACCAATTACTTGTGTGTGTGTGTGTGTGTATGTATAATAATCAGACATCTCCCACGTGATCAGTTTCTGAGTGAACGATTCAATGAGTTGAATGGGTCAGTTCCAGCCTCTCATACGTCTTGTTTCAGGATACTTTGCACACCCAGTAATCCAACATAGCATCAGTTTATACTCTGATTATGTTTTTAAAGTTCTCTTTGTAAACAGACAAGAAGCTTTTCTAATAAAAACTTAATTATGCAACAGATTCTAGTTGCAATATACAGCTTTGCCTATAACAATAAGAAACAGTACATTGTAAGTATTTTAGGTAGCATTAAATGCTGTAAAATGTTTAGTACTTTACTTAGACTATCTATATTGCAGGAGTCAAAAACAAAAATTTTCAGCAAGATTGCCATCACTAACAGTAAACTCAAGAGTGCCACTGTAATTGGAACATGAATTTCAAAGTGCTCTTCACAGTAACTGGGTGGTGAGAATTTGTTATAACTGCATACATTTTCAGAACACATCCACAATACACAGTTGTGATGAGCAATGCTAGTTGGGGGCTTCTTCAATGTGAAATCTCACCTATACAGGAACTGGCAACTAGCCAGCTGACAAATGGTTGTTGAAATAAATGTCTTCATTGTTCTCATCTCCAAGAATTAAATTGCACAGTTAATTCTCCCCAACAACTAATTGTACCCAGTGCCCCGTTTTTCCTTCAGGGGGTATTATTTGGGAGTATAAATTATTTGGGGGCTATACATTTGGATAAAATGGTGGGTTAATACAATTTTCATGTCTCTTAAAAAATTATAACCATAATTATTAGTTTGATATATGCATTCATAAATACCTGCCTTCAGTACAAGGTATGATGTTAACTATATATGATCCCATAAACTAACCTTTGTTTCTACATTCTGGTCCAAATTTCACGAGCTAGGCTGAGAAGGAGTTGGGCTCATTCTGTGCCCAAGGCATATGTAATCAGTGACACATGATTTGCTGAGGAGAAGGGAATGATTGCCTTCAGATGTAGAAAAGTACGCATCTTTCTGTAGATTTTACCTATTTTTGACGAGGAGTCCTGTGGCACCTTATAAACTAACTGAAGTGTAGGAGCATAAGCTTTCGTGGGCAAAGACCCACTTCGTCAGATGCATGCGATACTACATGCATCTGACGAAGTGGGTCTTTGCCCACGAAAGCTTATGCTCCTACACTTCAGTTAGTCTATAAGGTGCCACAGGACTCCTCGTCGCTTTTGCAGATTCAGACTAACACGGCTACCCCTCTGATACTTAACACCTATATTTGAGTGAGTTTGATTGTCTGTGAATCTGTCTGTTCAAAAACTCCTCCTAAACAGTAAGAGTTAGGACCACCAAATTCAATACAGGCAGTCCCCGAGTTACACGGATCCGACTTATGTTGGATCCGCAGTTACGAACGGGGCCCGTCTCCCTGGTCTCCAGCAGACCAGGGAGAGGAAGCAAAGTGGCGGAGCACGCGGGAAGCGGACAGCCCAGACGCGGGAGCAAAGCAGAGCAAAGCCGTGGAGCCCGAGGGCAGCAGGACAGCCACGGCGCGTCTGGGCTGTCCCGCTGCCCCCGGGCTCTGCGGCTTTGCTCCGGGCG